ATGTTTCAGCCCCAGGTTTCCTCCTCATGAGTAGGTGGGACCCAATCTTAGGTTGGTCATGGGACCCAGTGGCTACAATCATGTGGCAACGTGGCACTGGATCATTTTTGGGAGAGAAAGGGTTCACCCTGCGCCTGTTGGGAAGCCCACCCTCCATTTTCGGAAGTAGGCTTTATTGGTTTGACACAGAACTACTCCAGAGTGCTGGTGTTCAACAAGAGAGGAGGCATGGGTGGCCCCCACTTTTCAACACAGGAGAGAAAGAGTTTTCTTCATTCGCAGAGACTTGCACGGGACAAAGTCCCAGGCTGAATTCTGGTTACTCTCCGTATCCATGTGTAGAACTTACTGGTTTTTGAAATTTGGCGAGGAGGCAGCCTAGCCCCTCTCGAGACTGACTTTGGTTAATGGTGAACCTGACCCCATTCAAGGGAGCAGTGTTCATTCCAGCTGTTCTCTGCATCTCTTCCTTTGACCCTGGTTAGTTGGGTCTCAGTAAAATTCACAGAGCTTTCCTGTAAAAGCACTTGTACTTGAAAGAGAATTTTCTTTCTGTAGCTCAAACCACAGGAGGACTCACAAGACAGCTGTCTCTGCAGGTGAGACTTCTTAAATGGGAGTTAAGTGCATGCGTTTTCAAGAAACTAAACCCCCCTCATATATAATTTAACCTAGAAAAGAAAGCGAAATTGAGAGAGTAGTATGATTACATTGTTTGAGAACTAGTAGTTTTTCTTCCCCTCATCTTATGGAAGTTAGGCACACTTTCACTGTTCGGCCTATCTTTACTGCTATGGACGTGGGCTAAGTGTGATGCTGTAATAATAGTGAGAGTTGCTCTAGCCATAGTTATGCACTGTGGATTGAAATAGTAAATTATTCTTAGCAGATGGAATGGGCAATAAGACTGCCATCCAGTTCTGCTCATAAAACAGAGCAATAGATAAATAAAGGAGAGCCAACTCACTTAACCCGCGTGCCTCTGTGCACTGCTAATTATTAACCCAGGCTCAAGAGAAGGGTTCACCCAGAGTGTAGTTAAATCATTTTTAATAGAGGTAAACACTGGCCATGTGGATGAGTAGCACTCAGGAAAGTTTTTAATCAGCAACGTTTAGGAATCATCCGACCTAATTGCCATAACTTATTAATAATAATAAATAATCTAGTCCTTTTATGGCCCCTGTCTCTGGAGGACTCGGTGCATTAAAGATCTCTAGCGTGTGAATCTCTCAATAGTGGACGGGGGAGGAGGGCAAGTACCCTTGATGCTCATTCCTCACTGGAGAAACTGGGCCTCGAGGCTTATCTGAGTTCCTTCTTTCTTATTTTCTTCTTCCCACATCTGAGTCATCAACTTATGCATGGCCTTTCATCTAACTATAGGACCAGAGTGGCTGCAGTGGGGTAGGGATGGGGCTGGAGAACAGGCTTTCTTTGTGCCCCTGAAGGGCTGGGGTTTGAGGTTTTCTCCCTTGGGAAGTGAGTAAGAGCAGAGCTTTGTCTGAAGGAGTTCATTTCCTCGGCACGAATCCCCCTGGAGTCCTCTGGGCTCAACCTGACCATGGCTAGAGTGGGCACTGGAAGCTCCCAGCTCTGGACTTGTGTGACTTCCAGTTCCTGGGAGAGCAGGAAAGATGACGCTGAGTCTTATTCTTAGAGTGATTCTCCACAGCAGCTGGTGAGAAAATGTTTGTGTAAATTATCTAACGTAACCTTCCCAGCGTCAGTATTGTGGGTATCAAAATATCCCCGGGTCACCGACAAGGAAACTCAAGCTCAGGGAGTGTGAGTGATAGACTCACAAATAATTCTTGGTGGTAGGTTAGATTGAAAGAATCTCACACTCAAATTGGAGGCCCTTTGATGTTTATAGTGACTAGTCTCTCTGGTTTGGGAGATGGGGTGGTAGACATGAAGACCGGCGTAGGAGATGGTAAGTGTATTTCTGTGGCTAATAGTGTCTGAGGCCCACAATTTGGGGTGGGGGTGGGAGGTAGAATGTATACAAACAGCACAGAATTTACCTTCTTCTCACTTATTTTCTTTTCTTCCGGCCATGAATCTTTTGAGCCTGAGCCTGGATGGCTGTTTCAGTCCGAAAAAGTAAAATTTTAAAGAAGGTACCCGAACCACTATTATACAGATCAAAGAGCTGAATAATGCTAAGAACAGAATGATTTATGCCACAGACTACAAAAGACATAAACGTAGGGTGTAAATTACAAGATAACTCATGGGCAAAATTGTTGCAATATTTATGCTTATGTTTATTAAAATTTACATTCGAATAAAAAGGTACGAAATGTAAACGAAGCTGAAAAAAGTTCTTTAAAAAAATCTAAAATAGCTTATATGAAAATCGAAGGGGATTTTTTGGACTAGTAGATATGAATAGTACTCTATGCAAATTTGTCTGCTAAGGCATGAAATCCACAGTAGAATCGAAAGGAATAAGGTCACTAAATCCCTGTCTGAATTTCTTCCCTCCCTGCCCACTAATACTTTCCAGTGATTCAAATCTACTCAATTTCGGAGGAAGTGCTCCCTGTCAAAAGTCAGGAAGAGGAGGTTGAGGATTCTGGGCGGATGTCAAGACTGGATCTGTATTTGAAAGACTAATCTTATTTCAGTGATGTTTTCAAGGTTGGAAATTTTTGTCCATATTCATTAGAGGAGAATGATAAATCTCTCATTTGTACTTTGCTAATAATAGGGATGAGCTCTCGAGCTTTGTTAAGGTTAAATGGATCTCATGTGGTCCTGGCTCAGCTTTTAGAGCCATGTATGACCATGGAAAAGATCTCTACTTGTCTGGGACTCGGTTTCCTCATCTGTAAAATGAGGAGTTTGGACCGGATGAGAGTTAAGCTGGACCATGTGTGGAGTCCTTCCCTCCTGTGTGGAGTGTACCATGCAAGGCAGGTAGGACTTGCAAAAGTAATTAAGACACCTAGCTGTTGTCCTCAGGAGCTCAGGGTCTACATAAATAACTAATTATAATAGGAGCTATAATTGCAATGTGCACAAATTACTCTGGGAGCTCAGAGGCGGAAATAGTGACTTTTCTCTCTATGGGGAGGGGCTCTGAGAAACTTGATGGTGGCTGTGATACTTGAAGGCTGAGGAGGAGGGTTCCTCCAGGTGTTCCTCCTGGTCAGAGGGTGGGGCTTCAGACACTGCATTCCAGGCAGCAAAGGCATGTGACAGTGGTACATTTAGAGAGCTGCACATGGCCCTTCTCACAGTCTCTGGACAGTGTCACGGCATGGGAGGTGAGTGGCATTGCACACACTGCCGTGTCAGAATTTGTACTAATGATGAATTACTGAGGTGAGAGAAGAATGTATATAGCACATATAAATTAGAGCAGAACTAAAGCTGTCTCGTAATGGTACCGGTATGGGCCATTTACATCCCAGTGGCATAATGAGTGTGAAAGAAAGGGTATGCAATCTGTCTTATCTCTGCTTTAGCCACTGGTCTCGGTGTGCCCTGGGGTGCATGCATATTGTGCGTAAATGACATTCCTTATAGGGGCACACGCAGCCCTTGCAGTCTAGTTTAATTCATCAGGCACGTGTTTCACCCACGTCATTCATGGGCCCTCGGCTTTTTGTGACCCTGTAGGAGCCGATGTTTTAGTTGATGGCTGATAGCAAATGTAGATATCGACGATATAGTTCTTATTTCATTTTTAAGATGAAGATAGCTTGTTTTAAAGTTCAAATTATAAATGTAAGATATGTTCATGGTTGAAAATTAGAATAATACAGAAATACTTATGTAAGATTAAAAAATTATGATATAATCCCACGGTGGAATACTATACAGCCGTGAGAATGAACGATCTACATGCTACAGCGTGGCCGACTCCCACAATCACTGCGGAGCAAAGAAGGCAGGTGGGAAAAATTCATACCACATCAGACCATTTATACAAAGGGCTAAAATAGTCAAAACAAATGTAAACTGTTCAGAGTTATGCTAGTGGTTCCTGTTGGGTGGGTGTTAGTGACTGTTCGTTTATGCTTTTTGCTAAACATGTGTTTCCCAGTACCAGACATAGTGCTTGGCAGATGGTAGCCTCTCAAATATCTGTTGAAACACATTTTTTTTTCCACCTTTTAACCTACTTTGACATAGGATTAATATGAAGACACGGTGCTATTAGTTGTGAGTTATAGTGTGGAGAATTTATACCACTGTTTTGTTTATATGATTTAAATATAGAACTTTAGTATATTCATAGGCCCTTTTTCTGTGTGCCCCTATTGCTTTTATTGTTATTTATAAACTAGTCAGGCGGCTTAGTAACTGTTAGGAAGATGGTTTTTGGAATCTGACAGACATGGCTTCACTCCTGAGCCCATTGCTTACTCCTCTGTGGCTTCGGATGAGTTACTCAGCCTTCCAGAACCTCAGTTTCCCCATCTGTAAAATGTGAATGATCATACAATCTACTCTAAAGAGGTTTTGTGAAAATAATAGTATTAACATTGATAATAGCAACCAGATTTATTTTTGGATTTACTATGTCTTGGGCAGTGTTCTAAGCCCTTAAAACATAGGACATGATTTGTTTAATCTTTCCTAGCCTCTTATCTATTTGTGGTTTAGGGACTGTCAGCCACAGAGTTAGTGTCGAGCCAGGATTTAAACCCGGGCGGTTTCGTCACAGAGTCTGAGCTCTTAACCACTGCCTCCGAGTTAAAGGAACTATTGTACAAAACGGCGCTTGGCAGTTAGCATGTGTTAGCTATGCTTATCATCACTGCCATTTTCAACATTATTATTAATACTTTTTTCTCCTCTCTTTCCCCGCCTCCGCCTCTGTTTCTCCTCCCTCCTGGCAGATGTCTTCCAGCAAGGTAAGTTCACAGTCTCCTGCCCGCTTTCCCATTGGCTGTGCTCTTTTGGGAACTAGGTAGAGTTCCCATGTCATGGAGGCTTTAGGAGGCACTGTGAGGACAGTGGCCTGAGGTGACTTGAAGTGCCTTTCAGCCTCTGCTTCTTCCTCTGGACCGTCTTTGGGGTTAAGGTGGGAAGTGGACAGTTGAGGCAGCAGCGTTGGGGAGGGGTTCATGACTAGGCCTCCGTTAGGGGACAAGGGAGCAGGTGTCTGTGGTGGGGGGGATCAGGCGAAGACCCTGTCCCTTGGCTCCTGCCTCAGGGGCAGCTGCCGCGTGCTCAGGCCTCCCTATGCCAGCTCCACGTGGGCTTTTCTTTGCCAAACAAATGCGTTGCTGCCCCAGAGGTGTGGGCGAGACCGTAGATGGCTGGTCTCTTTGTGCCCTTCAACCCAGGTGTCCCTCACAGCCCCTCCAGCTGGGCCTGGGACAGAGACGGGGCCAGGTCAGGGCATGCAGTGCCTTACCTGTTTTGCCAGCCAAGGTCATGTGTTCTGGGGAGCCGGAGACTGAGAGCCTAACCCCTGACTGCGTCTTCTCGCCCGTGTTTTCGTCCTGCTTAGGATGCGCAGCCACCGTGCTCTGGGAGAATCATAGGCATGGCCTCGTCGAACCTGCTAGACATACATTAAAGGAGAACTGCCTCTTCCCCCCGCTCCCCTTTTTTTTTTCTTTATCACAGTTTGAAACCAGTGGGTAAAGTGGCAGGGTATAACTGTTTGTATTCAAGCTGGGAAATATGTTCGTAGCACAGTCTGCTATGTCTTTCTTGAATCCAAGTCTGGCTCGGAAAAAGAGACTGGTTTAAAAATACATCCAGGCATTCCATAAATAGCTTCCAAATAATCTTAAAGGCTCGATGTTTTCACAACTATTATTTTACCCCCAACATGCAGCACACGGCTGTGGAGATGGTCTGCTCTCTCCGATAAAAGCGCCGTTGTGAATATCAGTGAGGGGACTGTTGGTTGTCTTTTAAGAGTCTGGAGTCATAGACCTACTTTTATAAATAATTCATAAATCCCAACAAGCTACAAGTAATAAGTTCCATTTGGCTAGAGACTAAGAGATGAGCAAAATTGAAAAGGTGCCTCAACTGTTTGTGTAATGGGAGTGATGCCGCCAGGGCCCCTGGCTGCGGGG